TCTAAAGCCTCTGCGCTTTGTGTCTCATCACCTTCTTCTCACTGCTTCCGCTCACTCATCCAGCATTGAGGGAGGGCTTTCCCGCTCTGGGCTAGGCATTGGCGCCCTAAAACTTAAGATCTCGTGACTCTCTGTTCTTAGCTACTAGAGGTATGTAAAACCCCAAAGGCTCTAATATATTAATTGGTTTTATTTAAAAATTCTTTGTATAGAATGTACTTAGAGTCTACCTGAAGTAATCTTCAAAGGATCGAAGTGCTCCTTTGAGAACTCTGTCATTTTAAGTGAGTAAAAGTTTACTCTTTAACAACTTCATTCAACAGGCAGATCTTTTCCTTGAAAAATGTGGATGTCCTCGATAAACCCTAATTGCATATATGTAGCATAAATATTGTTTTTTTATTGGATTTGTTGCAGAAGTAAGGGCTTCTTTTGTTTAAATGGACTTGCTTTTGAACTGTGAAAATTTAATCGTGATAGTTTATCGGTTCAGCTCTGGAGAAGCTAAGGTAAAGCTATTTTGCTTCAGCCAGAGCTATTTATATACCATCACTGAGAGCTCCTTTTCATATTATCGGTGTTATTGCGTACTAAAAAAAGGAGTGTTAAAAGAAAACTTAGGATTTTTTTTTTCCTGTGCCCTTATTCACCACAATGATATTTTTAGAGGTTATTTCATCTAGTATATCTCTTCAGAAAGGGCTTTATCTTTTCACAGCAGAGGCAGACAAGAACTCAGCTTGAAGCCATTCCTTCTCAAGTCTTCTTTTTTGAAGGGTGAAAGGATCAGAGAGAGTGGAACTGTGTGTGTGAATTGAACCTCTGCCCTTAGCCCCTTGCCGAGCCACACATTTTCACCAGGGGAGAAATGGCCATAAATTTAACTGAAGAGGCCTTTAAGAAAAGGGGTTAAAATTTAAGACACTATTTCTAGGAGTTTCTCTCAGCAGAAAGAAAGATCAGTCTTAGAAGTTTCTCCTGACTTCTGTTTGCTTCCAGAGAACGCCATCATTCTGCTTAGCTTTCCTTTAAAAGAGCACTTTGCTGAACAGGGCAAGCAGATAATCATTCACTGTTGCAAATACCTGCTGAATTGGCCGAGTATGGAAGAGGAATGACAGCAGATGGCTGCTCCAGTGGCTAGCATTTGTTAGCTGAGGCTCTGGAAGACAAGCTAACTTCTAGAAGAACATCAGACATACAGCTGCAAACACTGTCCTGTAACAAAGCTAAGTTTGGAAACAGGAGTAGATTTCGCCCTGAAAGTGGAGTTGTTGATGTCAACAGAAGCATCTCATTTTGGGCCTGGCTGTGGGGTCTTGACAGAAGAGTGTGTGGAAGCTGCACTTCAGCCTGAGCTGCACAGCCGGCCGAGAATGCCCAGGTTCTTTCGGAAGGCCGCAGGCCCAACCGTGTGCTGCATTTAGTACTGGTATCCACACCTACGGACCTCGGTGTGCATGGATCTGTACCCATAGGCTCTTGTCCATCTGCCCTTCCATGGTATTGTGAACATGTTAGACCACTTGTTAGGTTTCCCTTCTGATTTATTACCAACCCTATAAGACATCCTATAATAATTTGCGAAATTCTCTTTTCGTCTGCTCTTGTAACATGAAACAGTATGTTTCAGAAAACATGATTACTTAGGACATTTTCCCTTAAAATTTTGTGAATTATGCACATTTGGGGGCTATGGGGAGGGATAGGCTAAATGTTGGGCTTCACGACTGCAAATCAATTTACAAAAGGCCATGTGAGAGATAATGCTTAATATAATTCAACTTCCCGTCCATTAACATCCTGAACTATGGTGTAAAGTTTTGTATTTTTATTCTAGAAATATAGCTGACATTAGCATTCAGGTATGCAGTTCAGTTTATCTCTAGTGAAGAGTCTTTTAAAATTAAGTTAAATATAGCACAAAAGACATAGAAAATCAATAATATTTCATTTCTTTTAAGTAAGATCTTTCTATATACATTTGCTTTGGGTGCTTATAAATTTCTCCCTTTACAGAAGTATTTTATAATAAATGTCAGTTATAGATTTAACTGTGGCAAAAAAAAAAATAGTTCAGGTTTTGTAGTGCCTTTAATATATCAGGAAAAAACTGCTTAGCTAAGTAGTAGTGTAGGAAATAGTGGTACGATCTCCTAAATGATATTTTAAAAATGTAGTGATATTAATGGGAGAGCATTTAGGACCTTAAGCTGTCAAATATTATAGGATTCAGTATCTTGTGCATTAAGGTATTTAAGCTTCTTTGCTTATTGGATTACCTCTCATTACCCTTTACACAGAGTATTTGTAGATGGATGTGAACTTGACTCACAAATATTTTCTTTTTTGTCTAATTACTCCCATACTAGTGATAGGTAAGATTTATTTTACCTTAGCATTGTGTCTGTAGTCTTAAGATGTTAGCTGCAGTTAAAACTGAATTCTAGTAGCGTTAGGAAGTGATTGCTAGAACCAGTTAAAACTGATTTGTTAAAGTATTAGAAATGGAATATTAGGAAAATCTCAATTTTTTTAATAGCCATGTCTGCCTCAGTAAGTTTAAAAACAGCCTCTAGGGGTGTTACTAAGGAAACATTTCCTCTTTTTTTTGGAAATAGCTAACTACAAATTAAGTACATATTAATTACTCATCAGGCTTCTCTTAGCTTATGTGTGACCACAGTGTGATTACTGTGGCAGCCATACTAGGTAGAATAGTATTTTAGATTTGTCCTCATCGCTGAAATAAGTATTTTGCTGTTACTGTTCGGGTAGAAAATGTAGGAGTCTATAAAAGGCATTTCCTGTCTATCAGATTTGTTTCTGCTTATGAGAATTTGAATTTGAAACTTAGAGAGATGCAGATTAAGACTTTGGTGTGTAACATAGTTGATGAAAAATCAGCAGTTTGTATCTAAATTAAAATATGTCACTGCTTTTTTTTTCTTTTTTAAACAATACAGAGCATTTAAATTAGTGATCTAATTCCTTTGTAGTTGTTGAAAATATAAAATGAAACCCAGAAGTTCTACTGTTCATTAACATTGGTATAGTACTAAAAGATTACGAATTACTCCAGTTGCCTGAAAAACTCTTGATTTATGCATTCCATTTGATTATCTTACTGCTGCACCTTCTGAAGTGAATGTCAGAATAGTAGTTTAAGAGGGAAGGCCTTTCTATATGTCTAAGAAAAGATGCCCTAAACAGCTTTTTACAATTTGCAAGTGGTGATAACAGTTGCCTCCTTAAATATTTCTCGGCACTTTTTTTTATTAAAAAAGAAAGGCTTACTACGTCTTATAGTAACATTTCCTCTTAGCTTCATTAGGTATGACAAGTATGGATGTTAACTTTTTCATTTAAAAAAATCAGCTTATTTTAGTGATCTAAGTTTTCCCAATCCTGACTTGCTGAGAGTATTGATATTACAAAATAGTCTAAAATTTTAAGAATGACTATTTAAATTTTTTTCAGGTCAGAGTATAAAATATACCATGTTGACAAGGGTAAAAATGTTTGTGGTCTTAAGTAGACTCATTAATAATTGACAAACTTGGTACAACTTTTCCTCTTCTTAATCTTTACTTAACAAAAGATGGATTTAGTAGGATCAGACTATCTAACTTTTACCTTAGAAAAAATTGAAGCAGTTTTTGTGGCCTTTGAAGTAGAAATATCATTTCCTGCTGTCTCTTTTTGGGTCAAGCTCTGTTGGTCATTGGCTCTTTGGTGTATCTCTAGAGTTTTATGTGTTTTGACTATAACTTGGAGGAAGTGAGTGCAAATGGGCTTCTTCAGGAAAGACTTATTTGGGCATATTTTTATATTAACACTTTATAAAGAGCTTACTTTCTAGAAGAAAGTATAATTTTCAGTCAAACAGTTGACAATTTAATATTTATTTACAATATTTTATTAAACTTTGTTGAACTACTTACATGTGTACATGAAATTTTATACTTCTAAAATATTTTTATTTTATTTTCTACTATTAGATATTATTTATTTTCCAGAGTATTAAGAATACAGTTTTTCATTTTTAGTTGCTATATTCTTTTGATTTGAGGGAATTGTTGATTTTGAGTTTGTGCAATTTAAAGAAAATGCATTTTAAAGTACTTTTTCCTAAGTTACTCACATACTAAAAGTCTGGCACAGTCTTCTTGGTGTTTGGAAAACAGTGAAGAACACCAAGTCCCTGCTTTCAAGTTTTCCCATTTGAGCAGGTAGTCACCGGGAGTATTCATTTAAGCAAGTCCATGAGGTATTTTCAGATTGTGATAGGTACAGTGGAAAACCCAGAATATGTAGTGGTTGGAGGGAGATGGGAGTACATTAATAGGGAAGTCATAAAGGGAGGTCCCATTCAGGGGAAGCAGGCATCAAGGTTCTGACCCCAGAAGGAGCTTGACACGTTCAGCAGTTGGAAAGGAGGCTGCTGTGGTGCTCTACTAAGTGGGGGAATGACTGTTACTCAGTTGGCTGTGTTGGCTGGCTAGTTCATTTGGGGCCTTCTAGGTAATACTTACAGAGAATGGAGTCAGTCATTGGGAAGGACATGATCTGATTTATGCTTTTCAAAGACTGCATAGGGCCTGTGCATGTAGAACAGATTAGAGGGGCTGGGAAGTTGGCAGAGAAATCATTTAGAATCTTTGCTGCGGTCCAGGAAACGGGTTGATGGCTGCTTGGATTCCAGTGGTTGCCCTGGAGGTTCTGAAAAGAGGATGAATTTGTGATAGATACATAATAGCCCCAAAGCAGGAAATATGCTGGTCCTTTGCCTTCTTTACCTAAATCCTGTGGTTTCTGATCATTGTGGCAGCTTCGAATCTCACTATATTGTGTCAAAGGAAGAATTGCTGGTAGGGCATGTAGATGAGTTAATTTACAGCACAGACATCATATCAAATAGATTTTGTTTTATTTAATCTGGCAAGTTGCAGTAAGCATTTATTTGATTTTTTTAAAAATGTACCATTTTGTTGTTGCAGGAAATGTTTTCATATTTGTCCAGCCAACTAGAGAAGCTGTCAGAATGCTACAATGAAAGACTGTTGTATACACCTCACAATCCCATATCTTTAGGTAATATATTTTTCTTAAGGAAAAAAAAAAAAATCATTGCTTCTTAACCCTCCCCAGCAGGGCGCTGGTATTTCTAGAAAGAGTATGAATTCTTTGTGGTTACAATGATATTTCTAAATTCATTACAGTATTAATTTGGAAATTGAAAAAGTTTAGCCTTTTGAAATGCTTTAATGTATTTCTGAGATAAAAAGTATACACTGAAAAGAATCCAAATTGATATTAAGTATTATAATGCATATGCAGAAAATGATACTTTAACTCCTGCTTCTAACCAAAATAATTTAGTCACTAGTAAGAACTCTAAAAATTTTAAAAAGTTTCTACCAGTTTACAAAAAACTATAATATTAGAAATTAAATCTGTGTTGTTTTTAATACTGTGATTGTTTTCCTGACTGTCTATGTTAGAGAACTCTGTATTCATGATAATTTCCTTTTATAAGGACTATATATTTTTGTCACATAGTACAAGGACTATGAAACAGGTTAATATGAATGTTGACTTTTATGCATTTAACTTTCAAGTTTCCTTATTATCCCTTTTGTGAATGACAGTTACCCAACTTCATATTTTATGTGTATCTAAGGAAAGTAAGGACTCAATCATTTGTAACTGAAGCCTATTTCAGGAATAGGCTTCCATGGAAAACCATTTGCCACTGATACATAATAAAACCCACCCTAGTTAGTCCTTGGCTGGTTTCTAATCTATGTAAATGTTGTAGAAGATGATAAGGTATGGTTTGAATCCCAGTTCTGCCATTTACTAACCTCTAACCTCCTTTCCCCTATCTATAAAATAGAGACAACGATCCTTCACAAACAAAATTGTTAAAGAATGGTTAAGGGGCACCTGGGTGGTTCCGTAGGTTAAGTATCTTGATTAGGCTCTTGATTTAGTACTCTTGATTTAGGCTCAGGTCATGATCTCAGGGTCATGATTGAGCCCCATGTTGGGCTCTGAGCTCAGCACAGAATCTGCTTGTCCCTCTCCCTCTGCTCCTGTCCCTACTGCTCTCCCTCCCTCTTTCTCAAATAAATTTTTAAAAATCTTTTTTAAAAAATGGTTGAGGTTATCAAGTATATAGTATACCATATCAGGAAATGGTAGCAAGCAGTAGTGGTGAGAATATAGTTTACTCACATAACATCAGAAAGATCATTCTCCTTTTCATATGCAGAAGTTGATTTTACTTAGTCTCACATATGTACTGAAAATTTCCCACATTCTCATCTTATATGTTCTTAAAACACGGTTGAATTTGAATAAACTGCCATATTGATCATGACAGTGTTCCATTTTCAATTGGCAAGTTCACTCTTTAGAAGGGTGATAGGGAAATTCTATTCTGATTCTTACTGTGTTAATTTGTATTAACATCTTTTTGTCTGATAGGTAAACAGATCCTTACTATCATTTATTTAGTGCATTAAAATGAAATCATGCCACTTGGCAATGAATAAAAAATAATGTCTCCATGCCAGTTACAAAAAAGTACATGATCCTTTTGTCAGAGGTACTTAGAGTAGTCAGAATCATAGAGACAGGAAACAGGATGGTGGTTGTGGGGGTGGGGATGGGCAGGAGGAGAATGAAGAGTTACTGTTGAGTAGGTGCAGTGTTTCAGTCTTACAAGATGAAAAGAACTATGGGCGTGGATGGTGGTGGTGTTTGCACAACAGTATGAATGTGTTTAATAGCACCGAGCTGTATGCCTAGAAATGGTTAAGATGGTAAGTTTTATGTTGTGTGTATTTTAACACACACACAAAAGTAGGGTCTCCTTCATTAAGTGTTGATTTTTGAGGGATTCTGTGCTGCTGAACCAAGGCGTATTGGGATCCTTTTTTCTTTTTCAGCTATGACACTTAAGACACTAAGCGAACACCGGGACAGATCTGTCACTCAGCTTGGCTCAATGCTTTTTACCAGACAGGTTTCTGGAGCCAGGTAGGTATGTGTGAAAGAGGCCTGGACTTATTTGCGTCTCCAAAAACCTAACTGTATTTTTCCTAAACAGTTGACCCCAAGTATATGCTGAGCTCCGTGTGAGTGTTCCTCATGGGTGAAGGAACGATGAGGCGGAGAGTGTGTAGGGCTATGGTAGCCCATGTGTGGAAGGCCTGCACTTGAAGCAGTCTCAGAAGGAGAGGGACCTTGTCTGTTTTCATGGACATCCAGAAACAAAGTTGCATCACCCCTCTGTACAGATTTTTATCGTTATTTTCCTTTGTTGGATCATCTTCAGTGGTGTCACATTTTGGTGCTAGAGATAAGTCATCTTCATTACTAAATTCAGATGAAAACATTTTTAAGGAAAAGCTCATTTCCTAAACCAAAAAGTTAGGCAATTCTTGTCTAAGTACTGCCTTTGAAAAATGGACTTTTTGCTCTTACATGTACATGTCTTAAAAATGCATTTCATTTTTCATTTTATATTTGATGAGGTCAGAGAAAAAGGACTTGGAAAGAACTATCTTGCTCTAAGTACTCTTCTTTACGTCCCTTTATTAAAGAATTTCTCTCTGACTACCAGAGATTAGAGATTTCACATCAAAGGACAACTTTTTAAAAGAAAAAAATCTTAGATTAATTCAGCTTTTACCTTGATGAATTATATCCATTCATGGCATAGTTTTGACGCTTCTAAAATGGTTTTCTTGGCCTTGCTTTTAGTGTTGCCACTATTTGTCTTTTTGTTTAGGATGATTTAATTGACTTATTTTTTTTTAAAGTACCGTTAGAAATCTGCTTATATCAAGTATGCCAATGAAATCAAGCTTACAGAATGCATGTGCCATCACCAAATATCCCTTTATGCTGACCACCACCCCCGTAAGCAGTCACAGAATTCTTTCTGGATCCTTGCATTAAAACCCTCCATTGCATAGCACGGATCAGATAGGTGGAATTTTGGTTTGTTGATTGTTGGAGGTGATACACAGCAATTCGTCAACGTGGTTTGACTTAGAAATTTCAGTATTCCATTTGAAGTATATATATGTGAAGTCAGATTCCATATTTAGTACAAAAACAGAAATAATTTTCTTTTTTTTTCTCTTTGAAGAAGGGGCAAAGGTATTTGTGATTCCTAGAAGTAATAGCTTTTAATGGAAGATAAGTCATTGGTCATCTCCAGGCAGCACTCTTCTACGGAGAATAGCCGTGTATTGTATAATTTTATCTTAAGGCTGCCACCGTCTATTTTCATAGGCCCTGATTTATGGCTGTTTTTAACTTCTTTATCAGTAGATCTAAGGCTTAGTAATACTGGTATCTGTTGTTTATGGGTAATATTCTGTTAACACCACCAGACATATTAAATTGCTAAATCTTCTCCCTTTCAGGGTTGTGCCTCTTGGGTCTGTGCAAGCCGTGAGTGGCCACACCTTCCGAGGCTTTATGGCACATACAAATAATTACCCTTGCGCTTACCTCAACGCTGCAGCAGCCGTTGGAATGAAGACACAGGATGTGGACTTGTTCGTGAAGAGACTTGACAAGTGTTTAAAGACAGTAAGAAAAGAACAAAATAAAGAGAGTAATGCATCTGCAGTTGAAAATTACAACAAAACTGAAGATGTAGATATTGAAGAAATGGCCTTAAAACTAGATAATGTGCTTCTTGACACGTCCCAGAATTCTTCATGACATGTGTAAGGTTTCTTTTTGACTATTTGAAAGAAGTGATGAGGCTACAGTACAAACAAAGCAGTTTAAAGATAGGGCTTGAGGTTTTGGAACTGAGAATGTCTTGGAGGATTTGGAGGATATTTGGTCGAGGTACAGACTGGGGTCTGAGCTAGCCATCTGATGACTTGCTATTTTTTTTATTCTTAGACTGCCTCAATTATTATGTTCCTTAACAGATAAAACTACCATTAGGATTTTTCTAATTGTTAGAATATTTGTCAATTAAGCGTTATGATTCAGATCATTCTTACTAGCGTGACAAGTAAAATTACTTCTAATTCTTTTTGAAATGTGTAAATTGTTTCTTCCTGACCATTCTCTACCATTCACAAATGACTTCTGTTTCTGGTCACAGAGAATTGAGAAAGATCCACTACTGCTATTTACAAGATGTTGGTGTCTGTAAGTCACATTCTGCCTGTGAAATGGTCATTCCCCAGGGAAGCAGAGTCCAGCGTAAGCTTTAGCTTTCACTTAGTGGTTCTCAGCCGGGGATGATTTGCTTATATCTAAGCAACACCTGGGGACATTTTTAGTGCTCACAACCTGTGGCGTGCTCTTGACATCTAGAGCTGGAGGCCAGGGGTCCTGCTGCTCAACATCCCACAGTGGATGAGCGGCTTTCTGGAACACAGCCCCAAATCTCAGAAATGCTGAGAAGGAGAAATACCACCATAACCCAACTCCTCAAGCAAAGTTTCCCACAGCAACTTTCCTTATTCAGTAGTGCTTCAAAGAAGAAAGCATTAAATGTTACCAAATTATATAGCGTTAGATTCTTAAGTGATAAGCTGGGCTGCCTGTTCTAAACCTGAGATTATATGGCATTTGTGCGTTTTTCCATTTGGGCCAGTGAAAGCTTTCTCCCACTGTTTCTGCTCTAAGCAGGCTTTGCATACTGGTTAGTTCAGGTGTTATGCACAGCCATTATCAAGAGTGGTTAACTTGGGTATTTGGGGATCTGTTTTTGCTAGGAAGGTGAAAATGATGTAGTAGGATGAACAGGTGTATTTGCCTCCTCCCCCCTCCCACACGCTCACTTTCTTAGTCTGATATTCCAGACTTACCGGCTGTAACAATTTTTGTTGTTTATGTTTTAAGAAATAGACTAATGCCTCCAAGCCTGAGGAATGAGCGAAGCTTTTGAATACGCCAAAATGCCAAAGCCATATTCCTCAAGACCTGCTCGCTGGAGCGGTGTTTCTATGAGATGCTCACAGGGATAAAGTATTCCATGGGCAGATCATTTTGGGCCTTCGTAAACCTGCCTATCAGCACATTAAAGGCTCTGAGAATTCCTTGGAAATTAACTTAAGTGTGCCCTTATCCAAATGTGGCACCCTTTTCTCAACTAAAAACTTACTGGCATCCCACTGAACATGCTTTCAAAAACACTGCAGTTGAGAATGCGGCCTTGGTTTCTGGGTTGTGTTTTTCTCTGTCACTTGCTGGTGTAAACTGTCTCACATACGAGCTCAGACAGATACCACCCCTGTCAGTGCGTAAGTTAAAATACTCTAACCCTAGCTTGACCTCCTTGGACGTCATAAAGTTTAATTATCAATATTGTAAAGGTTACTTTTAAGTTAATTATTGTATTTGGGGTTCTAATATTTTAGATATCTTTTTTTTTTTTTTTTAAATAGCTGTAACAACACACTCCGGAGGAGTCATACCTGGGTGAAAAGGTGGTGTGAGGTTTTTTATGTGGATTTGGGACCGAGCTGTAGAACCAATAAAGCGAAAGGGTCCCAACCATGCCTCTGGAGTCTGCAAGAGGGAATGGAGCCGTGTTGCAGATGCTAAGTGCTGCTGGCACAGCTTCCTGGATGCCCTGGGAGCCAGGGCGGGTTTCTAGAACAAGTGATCTATACCGTGTGAGCGTCATTTAGCTTGAGAAGGCCGGAGCCGAGAGACCAGCAAATGTTTTCTCATCTGCAGTGTATCAGCAGTTCTTGGGCTTCAGCTGCTGAATAGATAATAATTCTAATTGAAGATAAATTACATGAACCCACATGTGAATGATAGATGTGTTGTAACATTTCATTCCTGGTGCATAAAATCAGCTGCAGTTTTTATTATTAGTTCTTTCTTTTCAGAGGTTTTGGAGTAACAGCTCTGTTCCTGCTGGTTTAAATTTGACCTTGAGGTCCTGGAATTCACAAGAGTTTCTGAAGGGGTGCTGTAGGTTCTGCTGATTCGGGCTTGCCTTTGCTCCCACCCCAGTGTTGTTTTTGCTCACTCTCGCCCATTTCCACATGTAAGTGTAAAAAAAGTATGTATGTACAATTAAATTCACTTTAAGTTGCTAGTACTGATCGGTAAACCTCGTAATTGGCCTTCATTACCCTTGAACTGTGGTGGAGGGGCAATGGCTGATCCATTTTCCAGTCATGACTAAGATGACCTGTCCTCACGATCCAGCTGCCCCTAATAAGGCTCTCAGGTAGAGTTTTGGAGTTTGGTTTTTAAAGTCATTGGACTGTGGTAGTCTTCCCAGAAAAGAAAATGGAATAACACAAAATATTCTTTAGGTCACTACACAATGTGTTACTTCTACAGACAGCAGGGAAAGGTATTTTAAAATCCAGCTCTCAATTTGGCTCTTATGTCCTCTGTTGATGAATTCTCACTCTGTGAGGGAATGATACATGATACCAGCCTCAGGAGTTCAGTGTTCCACCATAAATCTTTCTAGTTAGCTTTTTGCATTAGTTGAGTGAAGTTATAGAATGTGAATTATTGAATACAGTTCTGTTCAGCAATAGGCCCTTGATATACAGAATGGTAAATTTAAATATAAATTAAGTTTTTTCTGGTTTTCTCCCCAGCACATAACTTTCCTGTGGTTCTGTTTCTGTAAGCACCCCATCATGACTGTCATCGAGCCCAAGCTATAGGCTGTGTTTTCATTTGTAGACAATATGTCTATGAGAGGCTTTAGTAAAAGTTAAATGAACTAAATACTTTTTTTTTAACTAGTGATATTACTTTAATCTTGAATTAGTAGCTCATCATGAGAGTAAAATTCTGTGTTCTTTCTAAGAGGAGAATAGCTAACAGTTGAAAATAATTGAAGCAAACTGGTGAGTCTCATTCATGTAACGCTCAGAGAAAGGTTTTTGCAAACATACACATCGGGTGCACACAAGACTTGGGGTTTCTCCTCTCATTTCCTAAGATGTCCTAATTTCTCCCAAGCCCTTAAGTGATTTTGTTGTATTTTGCATTCATGAGGTTGACTTTATTTGGGAACAAAAATATAATCCGGTTTGTATACACAGAAGCCTGATCATCTCAGAAGTTAGGTACCTTCTAAATAAAAACTATGAATATTCTGTTAGCGGTTAAAAAACAATTCCCATCAGCAGCTTTTCCTTGTCTGTCCCATTGTGTTGATTCTCTGTCTCTTGTGGCCGCGCTTAGTGTACAGGTGTGAGACGTCCCCACCACATCCCTTTGTGCCTTTCGTCTTGTTTTCCTGTTCCTTCAGCCATATGGTGTGTACACAGATCAGCCGATGAGTGCAGGGCTAATGAATATATCTTTATAATCTCCTACGTACTATTTAGGTCAATCTAAGGCCTTAGGCAGAATCTGGAAGTGTTTATACTGTCCTGTTTTTAGTAAGCAGTGTCAACTTGAACTTCTAGAGAAATGTGAAGAAAAGCTACATTTCACTGTGTAATTGTGAGGGGACTCTACCTACTAGAATTGAAGCTGATGTCAGCCTGCTACCCTGTACGCTTTACCAAAGGAGAAAGATGTTTCAAAAAATATTTTCGGTGTAGACTTTAAAAATGAATTATATAATTTACAACATGAAATAAATTTTTAATAAATAATTGACAGTGCATTTCCTTAGTTTACCTAATCATGGCTGGAGATAAAATCTGAAAAGTACAGATAATGAACACCAGTAAATTACTTACTCATTTTTTGATTCAGTCATCAGTACCAATCAGCAAGAAAAGTCCTATTTATAATGCGAATCACAAGTCTCACGGGGTTGGGGGCTAGTTTGTTGTTGTTTAAAGAGGAAGGAGATGACATTACAGCAACCTTTTGCAAAAGATCTGTTGACTACAGAAAGTTAGATGCGTTTCATCTTTTCTAAAAGAAACACTTTATCTTTTATTTGAAAATAAAATGTGTTACTTCTTCAGATTTCATTTTTAAATTGTGCTGTTTGAATTTTGCAGGTAGTTCTCATTTGTTTTGGAGCTGGATCTCTGCATGGGTACTTATTAACCATGTGAGCTCACATATTTAACCTCTGAGTATTGGTCCCATCATATGTGAAATGGGTACAATCTTATAGGATTGAGAATTAAATAAGATGATAATATATGTAAAGATTTAACTCAGTGCCTGATATAGCACTTTCTGTTAATAACTGCTATGATGTGCTACATAAAGTTAATTTGTACTAGAGTTAAATTAAAATACATTCATTTTCTAGTTAATTTAGTAGAACTCTTTTTGAGGGGGGGGTCATCAATGGATTTTGTCCCTTCTCCAGTGGAAGTTAAAAAGTATGTGGTTGATTTTAGATGACCACTTTTTTTTTTTTTTTTTAACTTTCAGAGTTTCTATTTTGGTTTCTATGAATTTCTTTTCTTTTTTTTTTTTTTTAAAGATTTTATTTATTTATTTGACAGAGAGAGATCACAAGCAGGCAGAGAGGCAGGTAGAGAGAGGAGGAAGCAGGTTCCCTGCTGAGCAGAGAGCCCGATGCGGGGCTCGATCCCAGGACCCTGAGATCATGACCTGAGCCGAAGGCAGCGGCTTAACCCACTGAGCCACCCAGGCGCCCCACTATGAATTTCTTTTTGTTTTCTGTTTACACTTGAGAATTATTTTCAAGAAACATATTTAAAATGCATTCACTATTTTATGGACTTGGATTCGGATCACTCAGGAGAACTCAGGAGAGATGGACAGAAACAGTTCATGCCCTAGTGACTTCCAAATTGGCTGTATTATGGACTAAAGTTTTTGGGATAGCCAGCAGACCCGCAAGCATAGCTAAGTTCATTATATTTAGCCCTATTCTTAGATGGCTTTCCACATTCAGCAGAATGACTAACACTCCCAAATTTACGTCTCTAGTAGACCTCTTCCCTCAACTCCACACTCAATGAAACTGCCTATTCATCTTTTAGATGTGCTAGACATTTATCTCCCTCATGCCAAGGGTGATTCCTTGATCTTTTCCCCCAGAAAACGTGTTCCACCCACAGCCTTCCCTTTCTCAGTTGAATAGTCTTCTGTTCTTTCAATTATTTAATCCGAAAACCTTGGAGAGATCCTCTGCTCCTCTCTTTCTCACAGTCTATGTCTTACCCATCAAGAAATCATATTGTGTCTACCTTTAAACAGTATCCAGAATCAAACCCCTCCTTACCTCCTCCTCTGCTCCCAGCCACATCTGAACTGTCTGTTCCTGGTCTGGACTATTGCAGTATCCCACCCCTCCCTGTGCCCCCCCCCCCCCGCAAAGAACCTCCCTGCCTTCTATCCAGGCCCCTTTGCAGTCTATTGGGAATACAATATCCAGGGTGAACCTTTAAGACACTGATCCTATCGGTTGTCTGCTCGGACTCTGGTACTGCTACTGAGCAGACGCCAAAGTCCTGGCTGGCCCCAGGGTTCTGCAGCTTGTGGGATTTTTCTGACTTTTCTTCCCATGCTTTACCTTTGCCTCCTCCACTCCAGCCCACCTGGCTGCCTTGCTGTGCCTCAAACACTGCGGGCACACTCTGCCTCAGAGCCTTGATCCTGGATACCTCCAACCCCCACCCCCCCGACCCGGGAACCCTCCGACCCAGATGCTTGGCTACACGCCTCCCCTGCTTCTTGTTTTTAATCAGAATTTTCCTTTTTGATGATGTCTACCCAGACAATCTCTTTTGTTTATTTTTATTTACTTTTTAAAAATATTTATTTGAGAGAGAGAGAGCATGTGCATGAGCAGTGGGGGAGGGGCAGAGGAAGAGGGAGAAGCAGACTCCCCACTCGGTGGGGAGCCCGACTTTGAGGCTCCATCCCAGGACCCTGAGATCATGACCTGAGCTACCAGCAGATGCCCCCAGACTATTCATTTTTAATACCGTGGTTACTCCCCTCCCTCCCTTAATAGTGTCTCTAAAAATGGTCTTAAAATTGAGAATGAAGCCTCAGTTTTACTGTGTGTAAGAATCTCCTTGGGTTCTCTTTAAAATGCAGATTTGGGGGGCGCCTGGGTGGCTCAGTGGGTTAAAGCCTCTGCCTTCGGCTCAGGTCATGATCCCGGGGTCCTGGGATCGAGCCCCATGTCGGGCTCTCTGCTCCGTGGGGAGCCTGCTTCCTCCTCTCTCTCTCTCTCTGCCTGCCTCTCTGCCTACTTGTGATCTCTGTCAAATAAATAAATAAAATCTTTAAAAAAAAAATGCAGATTTGGAATCAGTAGATCTGGGGCTAAGTCAGCATTGCTAGCAAACCCCGGGGGGATACTGATCTCACGAACCACACATGAGCATACATCCAGCGTACCATGTAATTTACATATTTATTGTGTCCTGTTGTTTGTCTCTGTCCATTCGGTTAGAACAGAACCTCCACTA